AGACGGAGTCTCGCTCTGTCGCCCAGGCTGGAGTGCAGTGGCCGGATCTCAGCTCACTGCAAGCTCCGCCTCCTGGGTCTACGCCATTCTCCTGCCTCAGCCTTCCGAGTAGCTGGGACTACAGGCGCCCGCCACCTCGCCCGGCTAGTTTTTTTGTATTTTTTAGTAGAGACAGGGTTTCTCCGTGTTAGCCAGGATGGTCTCGATCTCCTGACCTCGTGATCCGCCCGTCTCGGCCTCCCAAAGTGCTGGGATTACAGGCTTGCGCCACCGTGCCCGGCCAAAGCTTTTCATTTTTAAACGTATTTTAAAATTATTTTTAATTGTTATGGATACATAATAATTGTACATATTAGACATGTGATTTTTTTTTACTATTATTATTTTTTGAGACAGTCTCAAAAAATGTTGCCCAGGCTGGAGTGCAATGGTATGATCTCAGCCTACCGCAACCTCCACCTCCTGGGTTCAAGTGATTCGTGCCTTAGCTTCCCAAGGAGCTGGGATTTCAGTGTGCCACCAGGCCTGACTAATTTTTGTATTTTTAGTAGAGATGGGGTTTCACCCTGTTAACCATGCTGGTCTCAAACTCCTGGCCTCAAGTGATCCTCTGTCTCGGCCTTCCAAAGTGCTGAAATTACAGGCGTGAGCCACCAAGCCTGGCCTACGTGTGATATCTCGATATAAGCATACAATGTGCAATGACCAAGTCAGGGTAATCTGGGTATCCGTCACCTCAAGCGTTTATCATTTCTTTGTGTTTGAAACATTCTATTCCTTTTAATTATTTTGAAATATACAATAATGTGTCTTCTTTGCTTATCACCCAGGCTGGAGTGCAGTGGCTCTATCCTCAATTATGGCTCACTGCAGCCTTGACCAGACTGCTCACTGCAGTCTCCTCCATTGATCCTCCCACCTCAGCCTCCTGAGTAGCTGGGACTATAGGCACATACCACCACACATGTCTAATTTTTTAAATTCATTGTAGAGATGAGGTCTCACTGTGTTATCCAGGCTGGTCTCCAACTCAGCCTCAAGCGATCCTCCTGCCTCTGCCTCCCAAAGTGCTGGGATTACAGGCATGAGCCACCTTGCCCAGTTATTTTGAAAATAATACTTCCTTATATTTTCATTTTCATTGCTTATTTATTTATTTATTTGTTTGTTGTTTATTTACTTGAGACAGGGTTGCTCTGTTGCCTAGGCTAGAATGCAGTGTCATGATCATAGCTCACTGCGGCCTCAAACTCCCAGTATCAACCCATCCTCCCACCTCAGCCTCCTGAGTAGCTGGGACTACAGAAATGTACCACCATGCCCAGCTAATTTTAATAAATATTTTGTAGAGATAGAGTCTTGCTATGTTGCCCAGGCTGGTCTCCAACTCAGCCTCCCAAAGTGCCGGGATTACAGGCATGAGCCACCTTGTCTAGCTACTTTTTATTTTTACAGCATGTAAAAATAGTTTATTTTTTATTAAAAAATATTTTTGTTGTTGTTTATAGAAACAGGGACTCACTTTGTTGCCCAGGCTGGTCTCAAACTCCTGAGTTCAAGCAGTCCTCCTGTCTTGGCCTCCCAACGTGTTGGGATTACAGTGTGAGCCACTGTGCCCATCCCCAAAATAGATTTTTTTTTAATTTTTGAGACAAAGTCTCACTCTGTTGCCCAGGCTGGAGTGCAGTGGCATGATTTCAGCTCACTGCAACCTCTACCTCCTGGGTTCATGTGATTCTTGTGCCTCAGTCCCCACCAAGTAGCTGGGATTACAGGTGTGCACAACTATTCCTGGCTAATTTTTGTATTTTTAGTAGAGGGGGGTGTCTCCATGTTGCCCAGGCTAGTCTTGAACTCCTGAGCTCAAACAATCTGCCTGCCTTGGCCTCCCAAAGTGCTGGGATTACACGCATGAGCCACTGCGTCCAGCTATATTTTTTAATTTTTTGAGACAGAGTCTCACCCTGTTCCCCAGGCTGGAGTGCAGTGGTATAGTCTTACCTCACTGCAACCCTCACCTCCCAGGCTCAAGCGATCCCCGCACTTCAGCCTCCTGAGTCGCTGGACCACAGGCGTGTACCACGACACCTGGCTAATTTTTTCAAAAGTAATTTTATAAAGGGTCTTATTCTGTGCCGGTGGAGCCCCCTCACCAACAGTCCAAGAATGGACTTGGTCTTTGAACCTCTGAAATTGCAGGCAAGATTTTGAGGTTCTGGCATCTCCCCGGAAAGAGTGCATACAGCATTCACAGCTGATCCCCAAATGGCTAAGAACCTCTGTGAGAAAGCCATTTCTATTTTAGGGACAGTGTCTCAAGACTATCACATGTCTTCCATGGCAAGGATGCCACCCTACAGGGAAGGGAATTTCATGTGTTAGATGTGTTCTTGTGAGTTTTATCTGCCACCTGTATTATATTAACTTTTTTTTTTTTTTTTTGAGACAGTCTCACTCTGTTGCCTAGGCTGGAGTGCAGTGGTGTGAACTCGGCTCAGTGCAACCTCCACCTCCTGGGTTCCAGCGATTCCCCTGCCTCAGCCTCCTGAGTAGCTGGGACTATAGGCGCGTGCCATCATGCCTGGCTACTTTTTGTAATTTTAGTAGAGATAGAGTTTCCCCATGTTGCCCAGGCTGGTCTCGAACTCCTGGCCTCAAGCAGTCGGCCTCCCAAAATGCTGGGATTATAGGTGTGAGCCACTGCACCTGGCCTATTATAATAATTTTGATGATGATATCAGATTAAAGGCTCCGAGCATCTGCAGTTTCAGTCATGTCTCAGCTTCAGCCCTTAGGAGCTCGCAGTAGAGGACTCTCCCTGCTTCCTGGTGTTTAACCTTGGTTATTCCAGAAACGCTGGAGTACTGGCATCCTGGTTTTTTCACAGCTCACTGCAGCCTCTCACTTCTGGGCTCAAACAGTCCTCCCACATCAGCCTCCCAAAGTGTTGGGATTACAGGCGTGAGCCCCCATACCCAGCTAGCGCCCTGGTTTCTAATGTGAGACTCTGGGTCAAGCATTGGTCTCTCTAGGCTAGAAGTTCTTCCTGGAGCAGAACTGGCAGCCACAAGCCCCTCCCCCAGCCGCGGTGAGCTGGGCTTGTCCCTTCTACAAATCGGCTCCAAAATCTTCCACCTCTACTGAAGCTGAGATAGGATTCACAGGGCTGGGCATGACCCTCTGGATGATCTCATCCGGCTTTGCATGCCAGAGCCAAGGAGCTGAAGGGCCACAGAGATCTGGGTTTGCTGGGTGTGGGCTGTGGCCTCCGTGCCACTCGTCCTGTCCTGTCACCACCACACTTGTCTTCACAGCTGCCCCATTTGGCTCCTGCTGGGGCACTGGCTCTTTCCAACCCGAATACCCCTAGAGTATAGAAGGCAGATACTTTTGCCTTGGTGAAGATTTGGAGTAGGTTCTGGGAAGAGAGCTGTGGTGAGGCTGTGACCTCTGGAAACAGGAGCTGAGAGGGTGTTTCGTGGCTTGCAATTGCCAGATGAACTAAGATGCATTCCCCCATCTGCTCTGTTGTACTCAGGGGCCAACCGCAGGTGCTCTTCCCTGAATCCATGATGCTTGGTTAGCTTTTGTCTAGCTGCTGGTTTGGCCAGCAGATGGTAGACATCAGAGGCTTGGAAATCTCCAAAGGGTTCCTGTGATTTGTTTGCACCCCCATTCCAGAGCTTCAGGGACATTCACAGTCTACCCTTTGTCAGTTCCAAGCCCAGTCCCATCTCTAGTAGCCGCCCCAGGCATGCAGGCCCTGGGAGTGTAAGGACATGCTGCCACTCACACTTTCTCGTTCCATTATCTCACTGTGCTGGTTTCCACCTCTGCTTAAGGCCCTAGTGGACCAGGGCTGTGTTCACAGGCTGAAAAGAGCATGCGCCCCGTCTGCCATGCAAAGCTAGGTCCCCAGAGTGAGATCTTTTACTTCTGAGCCTCAGTTTTTGTGTCTTTAAAATAGCGGTGTGAATAACTCTCCCCGCTGTTGTGACCATTGTGAAAACTAAGTTCTCTTTCTGTGCCCTTTACAAACTAGGAAGACATTCCTTACTGGAAACCGTATTTGCTGCCACCTTGGTCTTGCACTTCCAGCTTCTGAAACGGTGAGAAAATACATTTCTGTTGTGTGAGCCACCCAGTCTGCACAATTTTGTTAGGGCAGCCCAAGCAGACGAATCCAGTGACCCCTGGAGCCTGGCCGTGCTGGGCTGCCCGCCCGCCTGACCATGGCTGACCAGACCATGGATGAACCCCTGGTCTCACCAGGCCAATTGAATTCTCTCTCTTGGGATTTTGAAATTGGGGCTGAAGTGCTCTGAGTTGGCTCTGCAGATGGCTGTTCTTGGAAGGGTAATGCAATGTGGGGTGCCCACTTTCTACCATGTGGACCAGCATGAGAGATGGAGGGGGAATCTTGCCTCCAGTCTGAAGGGCTTTGCCTCTCCCAGTTCCAGTCCTCCTCCAGGCCACTGCATCTCGTCCTTCGGTTTTTGAGACATCTATTTTATTTATTCATTCATTCATTCATTCATTCATTCATTCATTCATTCATTCATTTATTTACTTTGAGATGGAGTTTTGCTCTTGTTGCCCAGGCTGGAGTGCAGTGGTGCAATCTCAGCTCACTGCAACCTCCGCCTCCCAGGTTTGAGCAATTCTCCTGCCTCAGCCTCCCAAATAGCTGGAATTACAGGCATGCAGCACCACACCCAGCTAATTTTGTATTTTTCTTTTTAGTAGAGACAGGGTTTCACCATGTTGGCCAGGCTGGTCTCGAACTCCTGACCTCAGGCGATCCACCTGCCTTGGCCTCCCAAAGTGCTGGGATTACAGGCGTGAGCCACTGTGTCTGGTCAAGACATCTGTTTTAAATAATGAATACCTCCTTTTTGCTTAAGTGAACAAGTTTATTTCTGTCACTTGCAACCTAAGAGTTCTAATACCAAGGGAGTGTTTGCATCACCAGCCACAGCCATGAAGTTAAAAATTCCCTGCGTGTATCAGAAGCATCCATAGCTTGCGTGTGAAAGGGCTTTTTAGCTTTGTTAGTTCTCTTGCTGTCTCTTTGTTTTCTACCTCTCCTTCCCTCCCCCTCTTTCTTCACAGTCACAGCTAGGACAGTTTCCAATTCTTCTACCACATGCCCGG